TTTCAATGCTCAATGTTCTGGAGAATAAAAAAAAAATCTTTCTAGCATTTGCTGATTTCTATGGCATAAATCTTGCTGGCCTGGCCACTTCCCAGGTGCCCGGCTTCTATCACTGAGTGTACAATGGGGCAGGGACCCTCACCATTGCCCGTCATGCCCCGTGAGCCAACTGCAGTTCCTGATGGCCTGTGTCTGGTAACTGCAGCAGCTTGAAGGAAGGCTTTCAGACATCCTGTCTTTCTGTATTGCCTTCACTGAGGCTTTCTGCCATTATTTGTTTTATTTTTCCTGCGAACTATTCATTCACTTGCAAAATGACTTAGAATGCCAGAGGTCTGGGGTGAAGGCGGCTTCCTCTAGACAGCATCAGGACATCCCAAGCCTGGTGTAGGAGGGTTGCTGTGTAGCTCCTCTAGAAGGGGTCCCAACAATCAAAAGTGTTTCAGATCCTGTTTGCCTCGAACAAAGAATTGGATGACACAAGCCCAAGCTGGTGTCAAATGTTTATTTCAAAGGTGAGAAGTGAAGGTGTAAGGGAAGTACTAGCTTTGAAGAGCAAACTTGGGTCAAACAAAAGAAGGAAAAAGAAAAAGAGTGCAAATAAAGATCACACAAAGTGTCCTGGCGGTAGGCTCCTCCTGGTGTGTGGGCTCCTTCATGCCTGTCTACATCTTATGGGCACCAGAGAGAAGCTCTACATACGGGGTTCCGACGTTGTCCTGGGCTCATCTAATTGACAAGTGCCCCTGCTTCTCCAGCCAGCGCTGGCACACCCTACCTCCTACACCATGAGGACTTTGGATCTACTGGTGTGAACTGAACCTGGGCCACATATGTCAGGGAACCTGCTGGAGACCACCTTTTGGGGCATTTGGGTCCTGTCTCCACTCCTCTGATTCTGGTCTGGGCCGAACTTTCTGTAGCCTTCTGGGTCTGGGCTGTGGTGGGAAGTGTAGAAGAACAGAGAGGCAATGGGCCTGACCCAGGCCCCCTTAGTAGTTTCCTACGAATGCTGTAACAAATGAACACAGGCTGAGCAGCTCCTAAGTAACTTGTGTCTCTGGAGGTTGGAAGCCAGACAGAGATCTCACTGGGCTAAAATCAAGAGAGCTACCAGGCTGTGGTCTGGGGCCTTGAGAGGAAAACCCATCTCCTCCTCTTTCCCAGCATCCAGAAGCTGCTGTGCTCTGAAGCCAGCAGTTCCCAGAGCCTCCTCTGCTAGGGGCCAGGCAGATACTGCTCTCCGTCTCTCACTTCATTTTTTAAATGATTTTCTTTTATTTTGAAGAGTGAAAACAAGAGCAAGAAGGGCCGGCCAAATACCTCAGCAGATTATCTATCTATCTATCTATCTATCTATCTATCTATCTATCTATCTATCTATCTATTTTTACCTCAGCAGATTAAAGTGCCTGCAAGCAGGCGCAGGGGCTGAGGGTTCAATTCCCCAGCCTGCTGTGCTGGCCCAGTTCCGGGGACATGCTGAGATGGCGACTGAGACTGGGCATGGTGGTGCGCACCTGCAATCCCAGCTCTTGGGAGGAATCCTACTTTATTTTATTATTAATTTTTTTAAAGTTTATTTAGATATAGGATCTCACTAGGCAGCTCAGACTTGTAGTGATCCTCCTGTCTCAGTTGCCCCAGCACTGGGTTTACAGGCATGTGCCACCATGCCTGGTTCCGTGGCCAGCACAGAGCACCCAGGATCCCAGGGCTGGCACAGCATGCAGAACCATGGGTCGAACCCAGGTCTTTGTGCTTGCCAGGCAGGCGCTTAGACCACCGAGCTATCTCCCCAGCTCACCCTCTCTCACTTGAATAAAATCTTTACAATACTTTCTATCAGCCTGTGTTTATACGATGATGGCCTTCCACACGTGGAGTTGGTAGGCGCACACAGCACGGCTTCATTCTTTCCTCATCCCCCTTTCCTTCTCCCTGCCTTCATCTCTTGGTTCCCGTCCCTTCGGATCTCCATGTTTGCCGTCGTCTCCTCTTATCTCCTATGCTCTGGGGCTCTCCCATGTGAGAAGCCACCTGATGGCTAAGTGTGTACGTCTGATTTATGTCACTCAGCAGCATGGGCTCAAGGTGCACCCATTTCCCCCCAAAGACTCCAGTTTTTCCTTTACAGCTGAGTAGTACTCCGGCATGTCCACGTCTCATAGGCACCCTTGTGTTCTCCATCACCAAGGGAGAGGAGTCCCTCCGGTGGGTAGGACAGCTTCCTTCCCGCCCACGTCCTTGGTTCATGCCTGCCCTAGGGCCATGTTGAATCAAGTACCAGTCTTCTCTGCGTGAACCTCTTGCCCTTGTGTTTTTCCTCCTAATTTGGGGTCAAGTGGAAGCGTTTCCTTCCAGAGCCCGTTCTCCTGGTCTTTTCTGTGGGTCGTTATTATCCAGTCTCTCTCTTCCTTAATTACCTGTCTAGAGAGCAGTGTGCATCCGGGGCCCTGCGCTCACGCATCCATGCGTGCACCGGAAGGACTCCGTGTCACGTACCCACAGTGTGCCAGGCACCCGCTCAGGCGCCACAGCACAGAGCCAGCACACAGGGGCCCTGCCCTCTAGGCTTACACCACAGTGGGGAAGCAGGTTTCAACCAACTCTGGTCGGTGCCCTCATGGTGGTGTAGAGGTGGGGTGAGCTTCAGGCCTACACTCCGCCTCATCTTAGACACTTACCCTCCTCGTATTCAGCAGGTTCCCAACTGCTTCCGTGCCCTGTGCCCTTGCTTCTCAGCCAGTAGTCTCAATTGCAGAATGGTACCACTTTCCTCTTAGCTGCAGACATCAAAAACCTCAATACAGGCTGAGAGAGTTCCTAATCCCAAAATTTGAAATGTGAAATGCTCTGAAGCTGGAATATTTCTTAAGTACTTTGGCAATGGGATACTCAATTTGTACCATCTTTCACTTCTGTCTTCTTACCCCCGCCACAAATTCCTGTTTTTCAATTTGCAGCTCTTCTTGTCTTTACTCCTGGTTCTGTCCCCTCTGTTGTGCCAACTGCAGTGACCTCCAATTGGTGTCTTAGTCCCCAGTTTCGCTGCCCTGAAGCCCATCTCCCATCCGCGGCCCCAAGGTGCTCTAGGGCCAGCCCTTGCTACCTCTTGGCCATGCTCTTTCAGGCCCGGGCACGCTGCAGTAGTCCTCAAGTGCTGCCCTGTGCTCTGCTCCGCACACTGCACCTCACTCAGCACCCTAGCCGCGAGTGCTCGCGTTGCTCCTGCCCCAGTGGTGCGTTCTCTGCCTCTCACTGTGATTTCCTGTCTACACCTCCTCACACAAGAGCTTTGTTGGTTTCTGCAGATGTAGGACATGATATTGAGAGCCCTGCTCTAATCTGCATGCTTATGAGAGTCACCTGTGTCCTGCGTGCCTCACGCTCAGTCATGCTGCATTCCATGGGGGCAAATAGGCCCCAGTTGTCTATCCCACTAGAGGGGCATTAGTTGCTTCTAGTTGGCTGTTTTCGGCTATGACAAACAAAGCTCTATGAATGTTCTTACACTTATCTTTTGTAAACCTGACAGCAGAGGTGCTATCTCGCGGGCGAGGTATTCCTCGAGTGTCCACATGATGCCAATTGCCTTCCGAAACACTGCACGAGAGCCCTGCTCCTCACAGCCCTGGCAATGCTTGGAGACTTAAAAAGGCTTGCCGTATGCAGGCGTGCGATCGAAGTTCAGTGTGGTTTCAGTGTACATTTCCCTGGAGACAGATGTCACTAAGTTCTCTTTTTATACTCAGTAAATATTTTTATATAGGACATGTATGTTGTTTCTGATATACATAGTGAAATGTTTACTGCAGCGAAGTAACGTATCCTTCATCTCACTTTTTAAGAAAATGTCTCCACCCCGTAACGTGGGCACCTGGAAGCTGTTGCCACCTGACGGGCTCTCGCTGCCTTTGATCCCAACCTGAGCCCCTCTGTCTACATTCTTTCTTGCCTTTGGTACGTTTCTGCCTTGTGGTGGATGGGAAGGGGTATAAAAAGCGAGCCTGGACTTCAAGAACTTGCAAAGAAGATGCCTGTTCGGTGTGGGCATAGTGACGCTGAGAATCTACATAGCAACACATACGTATAGGGGGGTCGTGCTTATACTAAGCGTTCTCAGGTGGCTGCCCTTTATCTCCTTTGCCTTTAATCAGAGGTGGGTGAGCAGCCTGTTTTCCCTGGTCTTCCAGGTTTCCAGCTTCCTTTGTCAATTTTCTGATAAATTCCCACAGTTACTGTGCTACCTGGAGCCTCTCAGTCTCTCTTTCTAATTGATCTAACTGCAGTCTACCTGTAAAAGGCAGGCGCTGTCTCCAGGAAGATTTGCCATTGATTTTTAATAAGGCCTATCTTTACCCCACAGTGTGTCTGCCTGGTGGAGCAGGTGTCCAGGCACAGGCTGCAGTTGTAGCCAGCAACACCACGCCAGCGGGTGCCTGTGTGTCCTTGAGTCCTACACTTTCACCCCAGGCCCCCCACTTCCCTTTTTTTGAGAATACCTAAGATATCAATTTTTTTTTTGTCTTTTTGAGACAGGGTTTTACTGTGCAGCTCAGGCTGGTGTTGAGCTCACTTTGTTGTTCAGGCTGGTCTCAACCTCATAGCAATCCTCCTGCCTCAACCTCCTGAGTGAGTGTTGGGGTTACAGGTGTGTACCACCACGCTTGGCTTCCAAAACTGACTTTTGAGGAAAAATCTCAATACATTAACTATAATCTTCAGGATGACAGTAGAACTATAGACTTTTGCAACTTGAAGAAGAGGAAGAGGCAGAAGAGGAGGGGAGGGGGAGGAGAAAGAGGAGGAGGAAAAGAAGGAGGAGGAAGAGGAGGAGGAGGAAGGAAGAGAGGAGGAGAGGAGGAGAAGAAGAAAGATACAAGGGCTGCCAATGGGTCACAAACTCTGCTGTCCATTTGTGGGAACATGGACAGCAGACTAGGGAAACACACATTTCAAACACAGTTACATTCCTGGGAACAGTATAAAGTTTTAGTTAATAGATTTATTACAGCAGGTCTCTAGTCATTATTGCCATGAAAAATGTTTTCAGGAAATTTCACAAAATTCTTTAAGCAATTAGTACTAGCTTTTTTTTTTAATAGAGTAACACTTTGTTAATTTATGAAATATTTACAGCGTTTACAAAAAGCGAGAATGTCTAATAAAATTTCTTATACTTACAAAATTCATACACTATACTGCTATATTTGAGATGTCTTATTTGGTAGAGCAATTAAGCTACAACATAAAATAATTTACAAAGATATAATCTCTCTTAATTCATTGAAAACGAAACCATATTAGCTATAAATAGTCCTTTACAAATCATTGTAAAACACATTGTTTTAACTCTAGCTTTAGCTTTTACAAATATACTATGAATGAGTTCAAATATGAAATACAACTGTGCATTTAAAATTTCATTTAATACTACAAAACAAAACAAAACAAGCTAGAAAAGCAAACTGCCCAGTACTTCAAGTAAAAATTTGTAGAACCAGTTTTTATGCACACTTTGGGGGAGGGAAACCCAACACCATTTAAACTGAAATACATAAACAAAATACTTTCAAGAATACACTCAACAAATGTACATCCGGGGCACTGGTGCTCTCGCAGTAGCTCATACATCCGAGATGGTTACCCCTACATTCTGGCAGATTAGCTGCACTGACCAGATTGTGCAAACATTCACCAAAGCAGCAGGAGAAACCCGACATTTGCACAGTGCTACATATCAAACAGTGTTATATATGGGTTTTGCCCCAACCTGAAAATCATTCAGAGTTTCGGGCAAGCACATGAGAGAGTCTAGAAAGTAGAACTGGCAACATGAAAAAAAAATTTAATTATTTAACCAGGTCCCATCAGTTTAATATAAAAATAAGCTTCTCTCTTGAAATATAGGGGAAAACATTTTATAGTCCAAATACTCACCGGGCCTGGGCTAGGACTGGATCTCCAAAATTTCAAAATAATGGACATGGCCTACCGAGAGAGCTATTTCTCGAGTGACCACTTCGGATGCTACAAAAGCTGGCAACTATCTAACACCTTGCTTCTGAAGAATGCTGAAGAAGCTGAGCTTAACTTGCTTTGGGGGGTAACCCCCACCTTTCACATCTGAATTCATTTTAGAGACTCCAAAGCAACCACTGCATTATAAGCATCATGAGGAAAATCTCTTTGACAAACATTTTCCCCTCTGATTTAAAATAATGCTGTCGCAATTAAGCCCACAAAATACATATCATATATGTAGCAATTCTACAGAGATAAATTAAATTTTATCTTTCAAAAACTGCTTTCTAAAGCTGCTAGGATTTTCCAGAACCTCTTCTCGGTGCCTTTCTTCTGATTGCCATGGGGACACTGTAGTTTTCTTGTAATAGACATTCTAGAAGGCACATCAAGAGTTTAAAATAAGGTTAGTTCAAGTTCTACATGGAGGCAAATATTTTAATCTACTTTGTACAGATGCCCACAGCTATTTTCTTTATTCTGAGCTCAAATGAATGGTGAGGGTTGCCCCTCAGAAGTGAGTTTGCACATGGGACATCATTTGGGAAGGGGAGGTCGGGGGGTCCGAAAGCTTGGCAGAGTTGGCGAGCTGCAGCTCCTCCAGCTGCTTGATGTAGTCATCACGCAGAGCCAAGAGCTCCATGTAGCGCTGCTCCACAGGGTTCGGCTGCTGGAGAGAAGCACACACTCGAGTTATGCTTTATGCAGCCACACCCCAAGAACACACCTGCCCACACATCTGCTACAGCCACCACCTTGCAAATAAACCCTTTCCACCAGTGGTTACACAATACTTAGCTTCTGCCACCCTGTACCACAGACACACAGGGAACAGTGCTCAGAGTCCTAAGACGCCCAGCTATTCTTCACCAAGAAGTAAGCAATGTATACACTTCCTCGCTCATGCATTGCCATCTTTACAACTCTATCCACCCAGACAGAACTCTGACCTCCCATGTCCTTGTCCCCAGACCCACTGCCCTCTTTCATTTTGAAGGACAATGGCTCTCAAGTTGGCAGTGATCCACTTTCCTGTGCAGATCTGTGACACTTCTCCAAGAAGCGAGTATCTGGAAACATGCATTCTATGCCCCCTAGCTCCTGTTCAGCTTACATAACTGCTACCACTGTGGATTTAGGAGTGACACTCTGACCCAGTGTCGTTTGCTGAATCTGATTCCTGTTCGGTCCTAATGAAAAAACTGATCAGTGACCCCTGTGTGCCCGTGCTGAGGGCAACCAGCATGCAGTGCTGTGCACAGCTTCTCACAGGATTTCCTTGCTCACACACATGCGCATCCTCCAAGGAATCTTACTAACCATGGGACTGTCAAGAAGTACTGTGGTCTCTTCAAACTCACCCTGTGCTGACGAATTGTCTCAGGTGGGGCTGTCGCCTCCTGCTCCTTGGTAGCTCCTGCTGCCTGCACACTCAGTGTAACTTGGGAGAACTTTTCTTTCTTTTTTTTTCTTTTTTTTTTTTTTTTGCTAACTCACAGGCTATTCTATGGTACATTATGGTGGGGTGAGTCTATTGGACTCTCATGATCTGCTTATATGCTTGCTGCCCATGTTAACATGGCTGTTAAGTCTTACATTTACTCCTTACCAGTGGGACAGCTAACCTCCTGGGAAGCTCACTGACCTGTCTGAAAAATGGTGGATTGAGCACCAAGATGGCGGAGTGGTAAGCAGCAGAGAAAGAGCCTCTCTGAGTGTTGCCACCATCCAGATGCTGGAATACAGTGATGTGAAGAAGACGGAGGAAAGTGAATCCCTGGGACCCAGGAAGTATCCGAAGCATAAATTGAAGCCCATACAGACAGTAAAAAGAGAAACTTCAGTGAAAAAGAAGGAGGTAGCCAACAATGCCTTCTCCCTGAGATGGGACTCATTGTGCAAGAGCAGTGATTGAAACCTGCTGGTGAGCCCAGGGGGCTCCATGGAGAGATACAGCAGTGGAGGGGACAGTGGATGTGAAGCCCTGCACTAGCTGGTGTTGAGTGCTGAGAGCTCAGGCATCCATCCCATGTGAGACAGCAGCTGGGCAAGAGTCATCTTGGAGAGGGGCTGGTTAGTGGCTGCTGGCTCCATCTAGTAGCTGCCAGCTGGGCTCAGACCCATGGAAGGTGCACTATTGGCTATTGGTCAAATGAGTCTGTGGTCTGGCCTAGAAGGTGCAGGCTTGCTGAGATTATCCACTGTCCTGTCAAAAAGCTACTGATGGTTTTCTGGGATAGACTGGCATGGATGTGGACCAGGACTTGGTCTGCACATGCTTTCTACCAGTGACAGCATGGACATACCTGGAAATGGACTTGTTTTTCCACCCTTTCTTGTTGCTGTGGTTTTCCTGTTTTTTTCTCCTTTGTTGTTTGATCTTATTTTTATATGAGTGTAAACATGGTTTCTAGCCTCCCTGTGGTTGTGATTCTATTCTGTTCCTCTTTTGATCTCTTCCTTCTCTCTTTCCCTCCAACCTTCTGCTCCAGCCTCCCACGGTTAGCATGATCCCCCATTTGTCCTCTAGCCTTACTTCTAATCTCTTCCTCTTCTTTCACTTCTCTATTTTTTCCCTAACCTTTTTTATATTTTAACTGCAGAGGGCAAAACTGACATATTAAGGACTTATAAACTGCATCTAATTTTCTTGTTTGGTGTAGATTTTGTTATATAATCACGAATCTTGTTCATACCATTAAAGGTGGCAAGTTAAAAGTTGGTTCTAATTGACATTTTCTAGGCTGTGTTGATTCTTTTGTCATTGCTGATGGTAACACTATAGCTCAAAGTGACATAATTATTCCAAACAGCTGTTATTTCTTGTATTCCAAGACTGAGATTGAATAATGGTCACAGAAAATACTGTGGCACAGTGCCAAGGAGCCAGGGGCTGGGCAAAAGAAGCAATAACTTCTAATCCCCAACAAATTAGAGGTAAGTTCTTGCAACAGACCTAAATTCTAAAAACCAGCTAGGCCTAGAAGACACCTCAAAGTAGTGCTCATTTCCTAAGGGTTCTAAATACCCGCAATGAAGCAACCCACCATAGGTAGTTTACAAGCATCACCCCAGGAATTAAACTAAGAAAAGAAAAGAAAATGAAAAGACACTTAAACAAGATGCAACCTCAGATCCAGTTCACCAAAGGCAAACCCAGAGGACAATGAGTTGGGACAATCTAGGACAGCCACCCACCTGGCCTCTCTGAAGTGGTAAAAACAAAGCAATTGAATGAGGTTCTAGAAAAAAATCAAATCTGAAATCATTTGTCAGATAACTACAGAGATGGTGTCCACAATGGAAACCATGCCTAGTGAATCTATAGGAAATACAGGAAAAAAAAAATAGAGGCGCTTAAGAAAGTTATGGAACCTATGAATTGAATTGTCAATATGGGAAAGAAATGCAATCCATAAGGCAGATTCATGCAGATGTCCAGGAGAATAAAAATTCCACTGAAAGTATCTGCAGCAGATTAAGCCAATGTGAAGACAGGATGTCAGATAGAGAAGACAGGCTTGCAGTTAGCAGTCAGGAAAAGAAAAGTTTCTTTCTTTTTTTGATACCACGAATCAAACTCAGGACCTTGTGCTTGCCAGGCAGGGACTTGTGTCACTGAGCTATATCCCTAGCTCCAGAAAGATTTCTTAAGAATACCAAGTGAGCAGGGGAAATCAATCCAGCAGCTGCTACATGAGACAAAGCAGAATAACTTAAGATTAATTGGAATCAATGAAAAAGCAGGGGATAGCATGAAATATATATCACAGATGTCATGGCAGATACTTTCTGATAAAGAATTTGACATAGTTATGTGAGGCACATAGAACTCTAATTAACCATGACAAAAAACTACAACAAGGTATATCATAGTCAAGATTCACAGAAATTCAACAGAAGAACAGAGTCTTAAAAGCTGATAGGGAAAAGAAACAAGTCACCTGTAAAAGAAAGCCCATGAGAATCACAGCTGACTTCTCAGCACAAACACCCAGTCAAGAAGAGCTTGGAGTGAAGTATTTCAAGATCTAAAAGGAAAACAACCTTCAACCCAGACTGATGTACTTTACAAAACTCTTTCAAACTGATGGAGAAATAAGACACTTATATGACAAAGAACATTTGAACAAAATTTATGTCCATGAAACTAGCACTCCAAAAAGTCTGTTTTTTTTCTAAATAAAATTTTATGTGTTTTGTACAGGGTCTCCCTATGCAGCTTGGACTTGTAGTGATCCTCCTGTTTTCAGCCTCCCCAGCGCTGGTGTGTGCCACTGAGCTCACCCAGTTTCAGTGGCCAGCTCAGCATGCCTGGGGGTGGGGCCAGCATGGCACGTGGTGCTGGGATTGAACCGCAGTCCCCATGCTTGTCTAAGCAGGTGCTTAGTCTGCTGAGCTATCTCACTGGCCTCAAAATGTTTTGAAGGACATTCTAGAAAGTGATACAATGGCTACAACTCCATACACCCCAACAGAAGGACTCCACCAGGCAAGGGAAACAATTAAATAAGGGAGGGAAAAAAAGAGGGGGGCAACAATAGGAAAATAACATGACAAGGATAAGTCAACACATATCAGTTATAACCACCATATTAATGGCCTCAGCTCACCAATTAAAACACTGTCTGGCAGAATGGATATGAAAACAAGATCCAACAGTATGCTGCATACAAGAAACATATTTAATCTAAAAAGAAATTCATAGTCTGAAAGTAAAAGAATGGAAAACAACACCATAGGAACCCAGAGAAAATAAGGGGTTGCTATTCTATCTGCAGACAAAGTGAGTTTCATGACAAGACTGATTAAGAAGAACAAAGAAAGTCACAACCCAAGAGGAGAGAGAACAATCGTAAATACATGCAGCAAATACCCTGCACATAACTATATGTTTTTAGTTTTAAAGAATACAAAATAGCAATAGAAAAAAACAGCATTAGAAACAATACAAGATTTCACTAAACACAGTAATAGAAACTCAACGATGGCTGCCATATTACATGATGTATCTTTAAATTAGTTGTTCAGATTACCAAGATTGCACCTAACTATATGAAACAAATATTAACCAGCACGAACAATCAAATAAGCACTAATGTAATTGTATTGAGAGATCCCAATACCCCACTGTCACAAAAAGATAAACAAAAACATAAAATATCAGAACTGAACTAAACTTCTGAACAAATGGACTTAGTAGATATCGACAGTGTTCCACCCCCACAACATCAGAATACAAATTTTTCTCAGCTGCACACAGGATATTCTCCAAAACAGAGCACATCCTAACTCACAGAATAAGCTTAAGTAAATGCAAGAGAATCAAAATTATCCCATTCATATTATCAGACCATAGTGCAATGAAATTTGAAATCAATAGCAAAAGAAACCACAAGAACTTCATAAACACATGGAAATTAAATAGCATCTGTCTGAACAACCAATGGGTCACAGACAAGATTAAAGAAAAAAATAGACAGTTTCTACAATTAAATGGTAATAACAATACAACATCTTGAAGCTTATGGGACAGAATGAAGGCAGCCCTAAGAGGCTGCTATGGTTTGTATCTAGTTTTCTCCCCAAAGCCTCATAAAGTGATTGGGGTGGCTTCTACAGTTTGTGATTAATTCCTTATCCCATGTGGGGACCACAAGTGTGAATGCT